TATTTATGCTAGCTGCTGATGTCCAAATTAAACTCCATTGTGTAGATGTGCGAGTGATCTTGATATTATTTGTATGTAACTGCCAGTTAGACTCCGGGGGCCTGTTTAACAATGGAAATTATCAATATTCAGTGTCATGATACATATGAGTTTTGTAGTTTTGCACTTTTAGATGTAGATATCGTATTTGTTTCCAAGCAGGCTACCATTTTAAAACAGTTTAGACAACCTTAACAACTTTATGAATCTTTTCTCATACTTAATTTACACTTATTTATACCCAATTTATTAGGTTTTGGAGTAATCGCCACAAAACATATTGAGCCAGGAGAATTCCTACTGGAGTATGTTGGAAGACACATGGCTGGATCTGAAGGAGAGACCCTGCTCAAAGACTACTCAGCTGAAGATGCAGTTTTTTTATATTTCTACTCCTTTCAGGGACAATCTTACTGGTAAGATTAAATTAATGAATGTTCTAATGAAGTATAATTACATCAATTTATGGTATGTTTATATACAGTGTTTTTTAAAATATTTCACCATACAGTGTTGATGGCAGTAAAGCTACAGAAAATCTCGGACGATACATAAATGATGACCACATCAAGCCAAACAGCAAAATTAAAATAGTAAGTCTGTATTTAATGTTTTTCGTATTGTTTGTCTTATTCTTTGTTTTAATTACTCCTTTTATAGAGCCTCATCTTGATTGTAGCATTATTTGACATTACAAACTAGACAGTTGTGGGTCTTTCAAATGTTGTTGTTTTTGTTTTCAAATGTGTGTTTGTGTACTTTTGTGACCAAGATAATGGATGAAAAGAAAATGCCACATTTGTGTGTATTTGCGTTAACAAAAATCAAGCCAATCATACCAAAGAAAAAATCATACCAAAGCCTATGGACTAGTATGCAGGAGTGATCCAGCTCTCAGATTTCATAAAAAATATCTTAATTTGTGTTCGGAAGATGAATTAATGTCTTACGGGGTTGAACATGAGGGTGAGTAAATACTGACAGAATTTTCATTTTTGGGTGAACTAACCCTTTAAATGCTTTGCTTAAGTTGATGAAGACCTCCACTGTGTATTGCTTTATCCTCAGTTGCAGATGTAATTTTTCCTATGAGTTCAATTAATGCCAAAGCAGTTAATCTTTTTTTTATCTCTAAAGCCATATTGTTTTTCATTAAATAATTTGTGTTTTTCTAAAAAAAAAAATTATTTTTTGAGCAAACAACTTTTCAAGGATTTTAGAAAACCGAGAGAGCAATGACACTGGTCTGTAGTTGTTAAAGTGTAGTTATACATTTCTCCCAGCCCTGCAAATCTGGTCCTCTAGTTATAAAGGAGCCCAAAACCCTTTAAAATCAGCAACAGACCAGTCTGACCAGTTAGACAGTCTATCTCAAACCAATAGACTATCTAGTTTAAGCCCCCCCCCCCCCTTCTAATAGATTGATCAGATAGCGCCCCTTTAATCTTTTCTATTTTACCTGTTCATAATCATTTTTGCATGAATGAAACGCATGATTGTTCATGATTTTCATGCATGATTTAAATTGTATTATATTACATTATTATTATTCATGTATTTTATTTTATTCATGTATTTAAATGTATATATGTAAATGTAATGTGTTTGAAAATACACAATAAACCTTGAGCAGTTAAAGCTTCAATTGTTCTTTTTTCTATTTCCTATAGTGCTACTGTGCAACTGTAGAATATGTAGAAAATCCATAAATATTATTTTAACTGTTAAATAATACTCTATTTCTACGGATTTTCTACATATTCTACAGGTTACACAGTAGCACCAAATAAATACAATAACATTTCATAACTGTATAATACTATACAGTATTATTAAAAATTAACAGTGTAATACTGTACTTTAATATGGTAAGAAATTACAGTAAAAAATGTTATTTGATTTTACAGTATGCTTAACAGTACTGTAGTTAGTGTTAAAGTAATTTTATTGTTGAATGAAATACAGCAGTACTGGATAATTGTTGCCAGTAAGTTACTGTTAATTTGACAAGACATTTTTTACAGTGTATTTTATACAGAATATAAAAAAGGATAAAACATAATGGACAGATGTGTTGGGAAATGGCAGTTGTATTAACAATATGGCATTAAAATATATTTTGAGCCACCAATCCTACTCCTACCCCAAACCTACCCCTAACAATTCGTTAAAACTACGTAAACTAACGTTACAATTATGAAGAAAAACGTGACTAACAGAAAAGTATAATCACAATAATATATTTATTGCGAAAATGTCAAAACCGCTACCAAAAGCCGTTCACATGAAGATGCTTTGCAGTCGCAGTCCTCTCTGGCAACATTGTAATAGTTTGTATGAAGTACAGAGCAGAATTTAAATTAATAATCAATGAAAATGTTCATCCGGCTTCAGTTCGCAGCTTCGCACTATTTCAAAAGAACTAAACCAACCGTCACAGTCCTTCATGTCTCAATCTGTGATGAGGCAGGGAAGAGCCAATGACCATTTGATATCTCTGCCGTAAAACACGACGTATCGCTTCTCAAGGCGCGATTTTGAATTTGAATTCATCACCAGCGCGGGATTTGACGTGTACGGTTGCTGCTGAGAATGGAGGCGAAGATCACGACTGGATAAAAGGTTGAATTAGGATTTTTTCTTGTAAACAACGTAGGCTAGGATTCTAAAGATTTGGATTACATCAAACTAATAAAATTGATGTCTTTTGTGAATTTATGTTTTGTTTTATAGGAGAAAACACTTTCTGTGCCTCACGGCAAATAAACTATATTACAAAATGGTTAAACGAGTAAAGTTAAAGAATGTATTTTTAAGGTTTATAGTGTATTGTTTAACACCATGCAGGCGAAACGAGCAAAATGTTAATATTTATGAGTATTATATCAATAAATGAGACTGAAAACAATGAATAAGACAGTTGAATGCAATAGAGTCAAAACATAATGCTACGATTTTAATATGCATAAATTGTGATATGTACAAATGTGTACATCGGTGGATTTGTTCAAATGTAAATAAATTACGTTTTTGTGCTGTCAATAACGTAAATATTTTACATTTTAGTTCTGTAAATACGTCAGTATTATACGTTTCTGCGCATATAAAACGTAATTATATGTACGTATGATAGAACTACACTTTACGTACAAATGCATACGTATTCTCATGAGATCACATTGGATTTTAGTCGACTAAAATATAATGGGTTTAGTTAAATTGTAATGCGTTAATTTAGAATTTAGAATAGAATAAAATGTACAAACCCATACACTCCCGAAGAAAACATCTATTAACCTATTAATATAAATGATTTAAAAGTCTGAACATGCAATACAGATACGGATTTAACTACTGTGATTTAAAAAATATCTTAAAATTAAATAAAAACCACTTTTCCTAAAGTACAACACAGCCTTTTCAATGGATGATATACAGTATGCATTCTTTATAACCATGCATACATCCTTCTTTATTCTTTCAAGCAGAAATATTCTTTGTGTAAATTAAATATAATTAATCCTTATTATACTAAAGCTATTAACAAACTGTGATTGCTTTTCTCTTTTTTCTTTGGTTGCTTGATCAATATTAAGGACACAGACCACATTATGTTTGTTGCCACTTTCACTTTAAGACGTCGGATTATTTCCAATGACATGCGGATCCAATTGCACTGATGCACATCCGATACACTCACAACTGTTTAAGACATAACCGACATAATTTACATGAATACTGTCCAAAGCGGACATTTAAAGCACTCAATAACCTTGCCCCTTCATATTTATTGGACCTTCTTAATATCTATATTCGATCTCGGACTTTAAGATCGTCTTCCTCGCTCACTCTTGTTCTCCCTAGAACCCGCACTACTTCTATGGGGTCCCGGGCTTTTAGTTTTGCTGCTCCTTATTTATGGAACCTGCTGCCACAGGATGTGCGAAACAGTGAAAGTATTCATGTTTTTAAATCTTGCCTTAAGACCCATCTTTTCCGGCAGGCTTTTATGTTTTATGTGATTTTTATATATATATATATATATATATATATATATATATATGTGTGTGTGTGTTAGGGCTGGGCAAAAAAAATTGATTTTTCGATTAATCGTTTTTTAAAATGTGGCCGATTCAAAATCGATTCTCAACGGCCTCGAATCGATTTTTTCCATATAAAGGGCTCGCGGACGCGGTGCGGCGTCTTCTCGTCTCACTGCACTAGGCAAGCACTAAGCTAGGGTTGAAACGATTCCTCGAGTTACTCGAGTTACTCGATTACAAAAATTCCTTGAGGCAAAAAATCTGCCTCGAAGCCTCGTTAAATGACGCAGGGATCTGATTGTTTCACACGGACCGTTATTCAGGAAGCACACCACAGCGCATGACACATATGACTTCATAAATTGCAGAGAATGTCAAAAGTTTGGGATCATTATATGTTTATAAAGGGAGAGAACAAGATGCAATGTGTCTGCAAAGTATACCTGGCAGGGCTGCCAACTCTCACGCATTCAGCGTGAGACTCGCGCAATTCGATTTTTCACGCTGCGTGTATATCCCTTCGGTCAAATGGCTGAAAGATAAGTTCGTCTATAGATCTACCTGTTGAGCCACTCGTGATCGACTAGTTTTACCGCCGCATATTAATTCGCAAGTTAAAATATCCTGTAATCTAGTGCGAGCGCGCATGCGAGATGTTGAGCTCCTAACCGCGGTTCGCGCACGACGGCAGAGAGGTAAGCGAGCGCGTGCACCCATGTCTCTCTCACGCGCCAGTCAGACCAATTGCGGCAATTCATCATATGCTTAAACTTTTATGTAGCCACGCAACAAAAATTTCAGCATACATTCACCGGGACGTGATGGAGGAACAAATATTGTGAGACACACACACACACACACACTCTGATGTTTGTCTTGAGATTACAGTTGAAAAAGTCTGATTCTTATTTATAATTGTTTTATTTCCATTTATTTATTTTTTATAAATTGTACACATTTGTGTACCTGTTTGGGTTGATATTTTATATTAATATATTTTTGTTTCCAGGTGGGTAATTTGCAGAAGGTGCAATCCTTTTTTTGTAATGTTGTATTAAGAAGACAAAACTAAGGCCAAATGGGCTTTACTATTTAAGTTTGTATTCAAAGTTTTACATGTTATGGGCTACATGTAACAGGTTTTACAGTAAATTGTTTTAACTGTATTGTTATATAATTGTTGGCACTGGCACTTATAAACACGGGTAAAAATTGCAATAATTAGTTGTGGAGCCAAATGTTGCAGTTGGAATAAATACCTCTATTTTCTTTTAAATAAATAAAAGCCAAACACCTTATCATTTTCGTAATACATTATTTGTTTTGGTTGCTTAAAAACACACATAAACAAATTATCCGATTACTCGATTAATCGATCGATTAAGTGCTAGATTAATCGATTACAAAAAGAATTGATAGCTGCAGCCCTACACTAAGCGCTGCAGCTGTCGATACACACTCGCGTTTAGGAGTCGGGACACGACGAAATATTCACTTGCACAATCGGGCCAGCATTGCATCGTAACCTATGATGGTAACTAACGTTTATAATTTTCACGTCTTTTTAAGTTTTAGTTTAAACATTCAAGCAATATTAAACCATCCCGTGCTCGCGCACTCTCAGAGATGTCTTTCACTGCGTGCACATACAGTAAAGCCAATCCGCCTCAAACAGCTCGCCTGAAACAAACGTTTTATCCCTGGATTATATCGCTTTAACAGTTAAAAACACGCAACATTATGTCAAAACTCTGGTATTGGTGAGTAACCTCGTAAAGACAGTCTAATGTCTTAAATAAGCATTAAACGCGTGTGACAGACAGACAGTACAAATGAGACAGGGATCCGTTCTTAAAGTGAACGCAGCCATATGTGTCTGTCATTAATTCTG